AAAAAAAAAAAAAAAAAATCAAATCAAATCAGTCAATCAGGTATGAGCCAGACTCATCCCCCTTCCTGGGATGGTTTTATCGGCCACCGTGCTACGTTTTTTGTTTTGTTTTGAGACAGGGATCTCACTCTGTCGCCCAGGCCAGAGTGCAGTGGCACAATCTCGGCTTGCTATAACTTCCGCCTCCTGGGCTCCAGTGATTCTCCTGCCTCAGCCTCCTGCGAAGCTGGGACTTACAGGCGTGCACCACCATGCCTGGCTAATTTTCTATTTTTTGTAGAGATGGAGTCTCACTATAGTACCCCGGATGGTCTTGAGTGCCTGGGCTCAGGCGCCCCTCCCACCTCAGCCTCCCAAAGTGCTGGGATTACAAAGCATGAGCCACCGTACCTGGTCTGTGTTACCATTCTGCGCCTAGCACCCCTCAGTGTGAACTCCCCACCCTCCCAGATATACCCCTCTAAACTCAGTCTTTGAGGGTCTGCTGCTGCCCACGGGAGGCAGCTCAGAACCCCGGGGTGTCCCACGCCCACAGCGATGCCCCTGGCTACTGGGTCACCCACCAGCCTGTGAATTCCTCACTGGGCTGCAGAGGCCTGGGCACCTTCTGAGCCCCCGGAAGCTCTGAAACCCCTGTGCCTTGCCAGTTCCCCTCTCTCAACTCAGACCGTCCTCTCAGCCTGCCAGACCCTGCTGCAACCGTGCCCGCGTGACCTCTGCGACAGCACGCCAGCCCCTGGGAGAGTTCTACGGGGTTGGGGAATCCCTGCCAGCTCTGGCCAAAGCCCCTGGCCTCTGGCTGCACTGGCAAACCCACTGCTGCCACAGAAAGCCTGGGAGTCTCCGCCGAAAAGTCTGAAGGACAAGCTCCTGCTCAGCCTCTACCGCAAGGAATGACTCCGTTCCAGCTGCCTGGGAAGGACCAGCCGGCTAAAAGGCCACCACTAAGTGGAAAAGTGCCATGAAGATGGGGCAGCCAGGGCGGGAGGAGCCTCGGGGCTGATGCGCTTTGCACCGCTCATCCGTGTAACATACTGGGGCTCCCCCACCTGCAGGTGTGTGCCCGTCTCCTGCTGAGAGAGAAAGCGGGTCAGATGGCCACACTCTGCCCTGGGGGGTCAAAATAA